AGCGCTGCTGGCCGCGGTGCTGCTGTGCCTGTGCTGCCGGGCGGCGGCGGAGCGGGTCCGCTACTCCATCCCCGAGGAGCTGGGCAGAGGCTCGCTCGTGGGGCCGCTGGCGCGGGATCTGGGGCTCAGCRCGGACGAGCTGCCGGCGCGCAAGCTGCGGCTGAGCGAGGAGAAGCAATACTTCACGGTGAGTGAGGAAAACGGGAATCTGTACGTGAATGAGAGGCTGGACCGGGAGGAGATGTGCGGAGAGTCGGCATCCTGCTCCATCAGCTTCGAGGTGCTGGTGCACAACCCACTGAACGTTTTCCACGTCGAGCTGGCAATTGTAGACGTGAACGACAACTCCCCGGCCTTCAGCAAATCTTCTCTGGACCTCGAGATAGGTGAATGGACTCTTCCTGGTGCACGTTTTCCCCTGGAGATGGCAAGAGATGCTGATGTGGGCAGCAACTCTCTGCTGACTTACCAGCTCACCAGCAACCCGTCGTTCGCTTTGGCCATGAAGGAGAACCCGGGTGGAAAGAAGCAGCCTGAATTAGTGCTGGAGAAAGCGTTGGACCGAGAGAAGCAGAGCTCCTTCGAGCTGGTGCTGATGGCGGTGGATGGTGGGGACCCCGCGAGGTCCGGGACTGTACAAGTTCGCGTCAACGTAACAGACGCCAACGACAATCCACCCGTGTTCAGCAAAAGAATCTATGAGGCGCGAGTGGCGGAGAATTTACCAGTGGGGTCACTGGTGTTGCAGGTGCTGGCCACGGATGCGGATGCGGGTTCCAACGGGCTGATTTCCTACTTCTTCGGCAACGTTCCAGAAGACTTCCGAGTGCTGTTTGCAGTCGACAGCGAGAGTGGCGAGCTCAGGACAGCGGCTGCCCTAGATTTCGAGGAAAAACATAAATACACCTTCGGGCTGGAAGCGAGAGACGGCGGCGGTCTCACAGATCACTGCGAAGTGGAGATAGACATCACGGACGAAAACGACAACGCCCCCGAAATCACGATTCTGTCCCTCTCGAGCCCGGTGCCCGAGGATGCGCCGACCGGCACCGTGGTAGCCGTGCTGAAAGTGCGCGACAGAGACTCAGGCGAGAACGGTCAGGTGTCGTGCGAGCTGTCGGGAGAGGCGCCGCTGTCGATCGTGGCGTCGTCGGGCGGCTCGTACAAGGTGGTGACGGCGAGCGCGCTGGACCGCGAGCAGGCGTCCGAGCACCGCGTGACGGTGGTGGCCCGGGACCGCGGGCGGCCGGCGCTGTGGAGCAGCACGGAGCTGGTGCTGGAGGTG